TAAAATTAAATTTAATTTTAAAAGTTATAGTGCAATTATTAAAAAATAAATCTAAAAATTAGATTTATGATATAAAATATTTTATAATAAGAAATATGGGAAATTTCCCACTTTTCCATATTAAAAATTTGAATTATAAAATATTAATATATATCCATGGTTAGGTCGTTCGATTTTGGTTGGTTTATAAATGGCCAAAGTGAAATTGATCCAATTTGGTCGAATTGGGAAATTTTTGAGCCAAAGTCGACCTAAAATAATAGAAAACCAACCAACTTGGGTCGAGCTGATCGGGTTGATCGGTTTCATCAGTTTGATGAATAAACCTAACTGAAATTAATTATTGTTGCTTTTGTATTATAAAAAAGTTATTAAAAGTAATATATAAAATATGAATAATTATTAATTATTTAAAATTTTGAAAATATAAAACAATTGTATACTCTCATGTGATTCTATTTGGGTCATTTACTAGAACACATCTTATAGTTTTACATATTTACTTAAACCTACCTTATAGTTTTCATTTTATTAAAACATCCCATATGTTTTACAACTTATTTACTTAATCAACCTTTCATTAAAGAGTGTTTGTTTTGCCATTAGGTCCATGATTTTTATTCCAAAAATACCCCTAACATTTTTTTGTATAAAAAACAAAATTAACCAAATATAGCCAATATAATGGTTGCTTGTGTCTATAAAGGGCAAAAATGGTATTTTTATTTTTATTTTATTTTGATTAAATGTATTTAAATAAATACTAGGGTCAACACTATCATTTTTCACTATCATCTAATAGAAGATTGATTAAATCCATTGCAAATTATAAGTGATGTTTTAGTAAAATTTTAACTATAGGGTAGATTTTAGTAAATCCATGAAATTATAAGGGGTATTTTAGTAAATGATCCTTTCTATTATTTAGCTTTTGCTTAATAAATCTCGTGCATTGCATGAGTCCCTGCTAGTAAAGTTCATGTAGCATAGAAAGCATCCCACTAGCATATGAGTGGTTTAGATTAATAGTAAGGTGCAAGGGATAATGTGATTTTCCCTAAACGATGATTTTGACATGTCTTTACATATCCCAATCTATCTATCTATCTATATATATAAAGCAAGGTTGTCCATGTCACCATGCCTCTCCTTGCTTCAAACCCCCTTCTCAATTTTCTAATTTTTTTAATTACACATAATTGCTCATTATCCCAATAAGGAAACAATCAATAGATAAATAAAAGGAAATTTGCTTTCCTAATAGCCAAGTGGCACCACTATTCCCCCCACTTTATCCTAAATTGTCTCTAATTCCTATTTATCTCTTAAGTTATCTCTAATTCCTATTTATCATTTCCCCCACTTTTTATCTATATCTTTTTTTTTACTAGCATTTTTTATCTATATATCTAAAGAAACTAACATTATGTAAGAATTATTTATATATTATAACAGAATTATATAATAACTTTAAATAATTATAAAAATACAAAAACGATTAAAATAGATTTAATAATATTCATATTATTAATAAATTATATTTTTACAAAATTCATCACAAAATTATGTACTAACAATATAAATTATAATTTTGCGGATTGTTCAATTTAAATGTTATTCAAATGATAAAAATTAACATTAAAAAATAAAATATTATGTAAATATTTCAATAACTAAATATCTTAAATAACAAAATACTAAAAATAGCTAAATAATTAATTTTTTTTAATAAATTTAAAATAAATATTCAAATAATGACAAAATTTAAATAATATATAATAAAATAAATATACTAAATAATGAAATATTTAACATAACTAAATTTTAAATATTTAAAATAACAAAATTATATAATAAATTTAAAAATTTCTTAAAATTAGAAAAATAATTGTAATATATTTCATAAAATTCAAATTAATAATAACTTAATATTTTAAAAATTTAATAACGACATTATGTAATAATAGTATAAATTATAATTTTATGGATTATTAAATTCAATAAATAATTAATATTTAAAATTTAAAATTTAAAATAATGATATTATTTAAATAACTAAATAATATTTAAAACTAGTTTCACTTATATCAATTAATAGTTCTAGAAAATAACTTTCAAAAAAATTGGTATTTATTAATAATAATTTTAAACTCTTAGTCTATATTTATTATAAATACTAAAATTAAGATGTATTGTATTTTCAGAATTATTTATTGTTTTTTGTGATATATTTTCAATAATTATGTAGAAATCTATTTTTGTTTTGTTATTTAACACAAAATTTTCAATAATTATTGGAGATTAAACTACTAATATTTAACTTTTTAAATTTAATTTATTGTACTTTTGTTGTAAATTTATTTTTAGTAATTATGTATTTTTGATATAATTTATTGATTAATATTTATTATAGATTAAACTATTATTTGATATTACACAGTTTCTTTATTATTTTTAATATATTTTTTAGTATTTACTATATTTTTGTAATTATTTTATTTATTATACTTTTATTAGTTCTGTATTGTATTTTCATTATAAATTTATTTTCAATAATTATGTATTTTCACTATAAATCTTCAATAATTATTGCAGATTAAACTATTATTATTTATTAGAGATTAGACTATTAGTTTAGCTGAAATTAGGAGTGTTTACAGGTTGGATCGATTTAATTGCAAGTTGTTTGGCCAACCAAATCAACTTGGTTAGGTTGGGGAGTTGATCACTGGAAACTAACTAACCATTAATGAAAGCCAGCCAACTCGAGTTGTATCGGTTTGGGTTGATTTTCAGTTTCGCTGGTCAGTTCATGAACTTAAAAATTAAATTTAAATTCAAAAAATTATAAAGGTATTATCAAAAATTTTAATTTAAATGTTAAATGCCTAACATAAAATATTTTGGGCTAAGGAATATGAGAAATTTTCCACTTTCCTATATTAAAAAATATATATTTAAAATACAAAAAAAATTAATATATATCTATGGTCATGTTAGTTCAGTTTTGGTCAATTTACAAATGGCCAAACTGAAATTGATCCAACCTAGTTGGGTCGAGTTGGGTCGGGTTGGTCGGTTTCATTTGTTTAATGAACAACCCTAACTAAAATTAATTATTGTTATTTTTGTATTGTAAAAAATTATTAAAAGTAGTATATAAAATATAAATAATTATTAATTATTTAAAAAATTAAAATATAAAACAATTGTCTATTCTTATGTGCTTCTATTGTTTAGTTGTCACTTAACAAAGCATGTGCATCGCACAGGTCCCCGCTAGGCCACTAGTATGTGAAATTTTAGAGTGTCACTGAGGCAGGTGTTGCATCATTCTATTTTAACTCACTTTTCGGTTCAATTCCGTTAAATTTTTTTCTAAAATCAAACTAAAAGTTGAAAACTGATACTTTTAAAATGGATCCGAGTCATTCAACTATGACGCCAAAAAAGACATGATACTGGAGAAACTTACAAGTTACAACCAATCAACCAGCATCATAAAAAAAGTAGGAGCCAATCAGGTGAGCCTACACCAAAATCCAGAGATTGTGATTGGTCAAAACCTTTCCGGTATTGATGTTTTTCCAGCATCATAGAATTTTCTTTTTAAAATTACCAAACCAAACTGAACCAAGAAGGCAAAAACTAACGTAACTGAACCCCCAATAGACCTATTCAAACTCGTCATCGTTCATCAACATCAACCACTATGTCTTTAGTTCGTTTGACGTGGAATAGAACTTTGAAGAAATTAGAGAAATGCTAGAACAAATGATTCTTGGATGTCTATTTGGTCTATGATATGCGTCCCCTTCCCATCATATAAGAACTTTCGATGCTTCAGGTTCAAGTCCGGTTGGTTGCCTTGATCAAAGTTCAAAAGCTTAGACAGTCCAAATCCAAAGTTACCAATGGAATTGAACCCACGTCCTATGATTCCATCACGCCACCTCAAGTAAAATTCTTGAGTGAGAATAGTGGGAGAGTATTTAACGTCAATTACGTGCTCCAAAGCTAGGAGTGAGAACTCTTTCCCAGAACTGCACTGCTGTGACACACATCACAACCCACATGTGCCCCACTGCACAGTTCAGTGCGAATTGGGAACATCTCCCGTACTTGTCATGGGGAGATGTGCCTAATACACGGCACACGGTTGAGATGTCATATGCAGCACATGTGGGGTACGTTTTATGGGGAGCCAATGAGAACTCCACTGCTGTGAACAACTAAAACCGCCGGCGGCAACCAAACTGAGGCAACAACCTGAACCCATCTCCTTTCCTTCCCAATCTGTTTTACTACCTCCTCCCCTTTCATTTTTGCCACCGCTGGTTTGGTGTTTGGATGCTATAAGATAACTGCCGCTAAATCTCACTCCCATTAATTTTGAAACACAGAGTTTGGATGACATGGACCGTTGGGTCCGTAGGAAGGAGGTGAGTCCAATGGAACTTCAGTGAGCCTCTCACTGTACCAGTCTAAAATATCAAGGGTCTGATTGAAGTTTAGAACTTTCCACATTCCACTCATATTTCTCCATAAAACTACGGGTGCAAATCTGGTTGAAGGCCAACCAAAGCCTAATCCTAAAGATGCAAACTTCAGACTCGGATTTGGTCCAACCTAATGTTAAGCCCAAATTTATCAACCCAGGCCCAACCCGGTTTAGTCCAATAAAACTAAGATTGGGCTTGGACTTGGGCTCAGGCTTAGACGGGCTGGTCAGGTTTGAAAGAATTTATATATTTAAATTTTTACATAGCCGTCTTTTTCCCAACCTTGTTAAGACCGATCCGGCCCATGATCACCCCTAAAGCCGAAGGATCCCAATATCCCACCAACATCCAGGTAAAAGATTGTCAGCACTCAGCAGTAAACGAATTCTTTAGAAGGGAGGAAGAAGCGTATTTAAGCCAATTTTCGAAATTTTACAGAGAATTTCAAAATCAATATAAACACCCTCAAGAAAAAGAACTAATGAAAAAAGAAAATTTAATAGATTAATATATTCTCAAATTCTAAGTCCCTAGTAGCTCAGTCTGATTCCAAAAGGATCAGGACCCACTACTACTACTAACAGTTCGTCTAGGTGCTGGAGCTTCATTTTTTTCCCTCATTTTTGCTGTCCCTAGTATAGATTCTTTCTACAAATACAAGAACCCCCATTTCCTACCAAAATATTACCAGATAAAATGCCACATCGTCCTTCAGCCCTGCATAGAAGATCATTACATAATGGCCATGGTAAGCAGTAATATGATGAGCCATGGTTCATTAAATAAGAGGATCAATCCATTCAATGATTTATATTGATGATAAATAAGTCACCCTAGGCAAGAACGATTAAGGGAGCTCATAATATATTTTCACCAAGAGTAAACGATTTAAGCATATTGATTGGACAAGATAATGATAAAATTGATAATGCACAATAGAGCAAACTAGCTGGATCATAATAATATCATCACCTTAACATGAAAATAGTTTTTGGGAGGATCTCCAACTAAAAATATCCTAATATGTGCTCCTCTGTATCAATATCAAGCAGTCCTTAACGGGGGAGAAACTAATATTACACCATCCCCTCTCACAAAAAGAAATGGTACTGTGCGCCTTGTTGTCTGAAACAAAAACAAGTCACGTCAATGAGGTCAGCAATGAAGAAAATATAGTTTTCAAGAAAAAATGAATCTGATACAGGTTCTTAAACTGAGAAACTTCATTTTGTTCCTGCATATGAACTTGGTGTGTTTCTGATACTTGAATAACACAATTATGACTTTAATTCCATCTCGGTTCATAATCTTTCTTCATTTAGGGAAAATTATCTCCTGATTTAAGTATATGAATTTGGGATTCCTTCTTTAGCCATTTTGAAGATGATCAGTAGTGAAGGTAAGATGCATGCTTTCTTTCTTTTTTTCTGATTCAAACTTCAAAGTGTTAATAATTTTTTGGGGGGAGAGGGTACCATTATGCTAAAGTAGAAACCGATATAAATCCATATGATTTTACAAGTCCTGGCATAGATCTATTGCTTCCCCAACTTTCTCTAGAAGAATGGTAAGAATTAGATTCAATTATAGGCTCTAACCATACAAACACTACGTATCTGGAGAAAAGAATGCAAAACCATTTTATTGATTGAGACCAACAATGCATCCCAAATATGTGCATAGGCAAAAGGATCCATACTGCATTCATCACCCTAGTATGTGTTTTTAGATTTAGCTTCTGGTCATTTATGATTCTATATGCACACTCACTTTCTACTAAGCAAACTGCGATTATAATTCTTATTGATTTAATTAAAATAGTGTTTATACCACAGTTATATGCAGGTAGACAATCACCTATCCCACCAAAGATTTAGATTACATTTCAACCTTGATAATAAACATTCCCTATTTACCCCTTGTTTGGTCAGTACATTAGCCAAACCACTTGCTGATCTCCTTACCCAACAAAAATCTAGCTCCCATGCTAAATAGCTGATTTCCTTAGCAAAAAACTGTACCATCACAATCCTTGTCTCTTACCCTTCAACTATCCCACTGACCACCACCACCTTTTCAATCTCCCCCCACCACCAGATTCCATAAGTTCAATCTTTGCAATACTGTTAACATTTCATGAAAATCTGTACCATCATCATCCTTGGTTCTTGCCCACTTTCAATCTTTGCAATACTGTTAACATTTCCACCCTTATTGAGAGTCTCCATAACCAGCTGATCCCAAGAATATCACTAGTATGACACCATGTTTAATTCTAAACATTTCCCCCCAATCCCTGAAGGACCCAGATTACCAAAACAGCATCCCTCAAAGTTAAGCTCTATTAATATTATCTCTATGAGGACCCCATTGGACCTGTCTCAAATTCCTTGTTGTTAAGACGCCAGCCAACCATTGCCACCCTCTGAAGATGTCACCCATAGACAGCTGTATCTGCAAGTATAAGACAGACGATTTTTCCCAAATGTAGATATTCCTTAATCTTCTAAGGTTTAAAGAAAATAAGGCTATGAAGAAGCTATAGAATTATGTTATGCCATGGCAATAAGTAGAATGCATTGGTAGTTCAGGTCCCTCAAATGGTGTATTCAATTCAGATTGTCTTTACAATAATTAATAAAATGGCTTAGGCTTTAGCTATAATTTGTGTTACATTACAAAGAAATTACCCAAACATCCTTTTTTCTACTTTTTCCTATCAAAACATCCTTTCCAATGTTTTTTAATAATGGAAGAGTCAGTTTCCTCTCTCTTAGTTTTTAGAATTGTATAGGAGTCCTTTTAGTAGACTATAGCATTTTCAATATCCCCCCCCCCAAAAAAAAAAATGGTGTAGTCTACCAAACAGAGGCCCAAGCAAGACCCTAAGGGAACAAACTAAAAGTTATAATAAGACCAAACTAACTTAGTGCACGAAAATTTAAGTAAAAAAAGTAATAGAATATTTGAACAGGAAAAAAAAGGCATGGAAGATTAATGGAACATGGAAGCTTCTATGGTTGAAGAGTATCCAGAGCCCATAAAAAAAAGGGTTATTACCCAATGTTGGTCCCAGCCATCTAGGGTCTTGGGAGGGGTAGACTGGGTATGGTCCTATTCTTTGGCATTTTTTCCCACAAAGTGGCCACCTCAGACTCAAACACACATTCTCATGCTTGCCAACCCGATATTTTACCATTACACCAAGTACATGAGCCTATGTGGAAGTGAATCATCTCCTTGCATTTTCCTCCCTAATTTTAGTTTGGCATGTACTTATTCTTAGTTATTTGTTTTACAATTAACAAAAAAACAAAAAAAGTGCAAAATGTTATACCCGAACAATCTCTTCATAAGTTTCATCATCAATTTCTACTGTAGTGATGATTTCTTCAACATCTCCTAGTATCATATTCAGGTGCTGGTCGTATGCCTGCAAGACAAGACCAACAAGCAAAAGGCACAGATATTCCAAGTCAAGACATAACTACTCATGTTCAGCATGCAAGGAGAATTGAAGTAAAAAAGGCTAAAATCTATCAAAATTACAAGAGATTTGCATCAAGAAGTACAATAACTTGGTTTATTGTAGAAGAGAGCAAGAGGCACAATTCTAAAGTCTTCCTATTTTAGTTCTGTCCCAGTTTGTGATATAACTAGTCAGCCGCCTCCACTAAGTGTAACTAGTTGGTTACAAGATACTAAACAATGACAAATCATTTTTCTGAAATATGTCCATGTCATTATTTCTATGCCAATGAAACTCAATACATTTTTTAAGAAGTTAACTGCTTACAAAATGGTTATACACACAGGGCTTCTAACTACATAGAAGACATTGGAGTTTATACATGATTTTTGGGCTTTGCTGCCTTCCTGTATTGAAAGTTGAAACACTTACCTTGTCATTCTCAAAAAAGGAAGAAAAAAAGTGCTCAAAACACAGGGAAAAAACTCCAAAAAGGCAAAAGGACATGCAGGTAGAAAGCTATTGCTACACAAACCTAATACATAGTTCATCACATCTCTTGCTTTCAACTTTTATGCATATGGTTTGTGTAAGATATGAACATATAAATGATATATCAGCTATGTTGACTGCACTCTTTCTGCACTTTAATATGACTTTTATTGGTAAATGTGATAATTTCTGTCTACAGTATGCCTTGCATCCCATGGTATAAGCTGGAATTACATATAGTTTTTAATTGTATGCATTACATTGCAGATTTGCTCACCCACTTGAAAATTGTTTCCATGTCCCTTGCTCAGCAAAGTATTTCCATTAATGTTTGCCTATAAGCCCTTGCTGCCTGGCTGTTGTTTTTCATCCAACTCACTACAAACAATTATGGAGTCACCTTCCATCTCCCCTTCTGCAGTTTTGTATGATTGCTTGACCAATCAACAAGACTTTAAAAGCATAAGCATTTTTTTCCAATGTCTACATCTGATGTACACATGTATCTGTTTCCAGCTAGCATAATTTGCAATTTGCAAATTAACCTACAGCCAGTAGGAGGCTATTTCTCTGCCAAATTCCTCATGTGGTATTAATATCACGAAGACCTGGAAAACTACTCCTACATAACCAAGCCCTCTAAAATCACTCCCCATCTACATTTTATGCAAAAACATGTATCTGTTTCCAACTAGCATAATCTGCAAATTAACACATGTCCACAAGGAGGTTTGCTTCTCTGCCAAATTGCTCTTATGTGGTTTTGATATCACAGAGACCTGTAAAATTACTTCTAAATTACCCAAAATCCTCTAATATTCTATAAGTTTTCATTGTTTTCCATCATAAAAATAAAGAGTCACTGCTTAGAAGTTTCAGGAGAGGAAGAGAGAAACAAATGTTGAGTTTGTTTATTAAATGTGGATCTAAACATCTAGTCAAATAAATAAGATAGTAAACATCATTTTAGGCTTTTAGCAAACTTGAAGTCTTGAATAGTGTTTCAGATGGTAATACAAATAAAGACCAGATAAATTAACAAGAAGGAAAGTCATGTACCTAGTGAAAAGAAAAAAAAAAGACTGATTAGTAATGGAGCTTGTCAAAAACTTTTGTAGTTTATTAAAACAGAAACTAAACTAACCCAAGATGGTGGTCAGTCAATAAGAACTCTTTAGTCTACAATTACAAAAACTTAACTCAACTCAACCTTGTCCCAACAATATGGAGTCAGCTACATGAATCCTTATTCTATCTTTCCACACTGCTCAGTGCCATATCCACCATTAAGTTATGGGCCCTCAACTCATTTTTCACATGACTACAATCATTATAAGAAATTGTATGTAGCTATAAGAATTTGATCCCAACTATAATGAAGCTGGCTACATGAATCCTGTTTTTCTATTTCATTCTGTTTAATTCCATGTATAATGTTAAATTTACTTCAACCTATGTCATTTTTGGTGCCCCTAGCCCTTCTATCCCCTTCAACTTGCAATTGATCATTTTTTTCTTCCTATGCATGTGACTGAACCATAGTCTACTTTCTCTCATTTTATCACCTGACACCTATTGAAGCTACTCCTAGGTTCCTTTGAATGACTTCACTCCTGAGTCCTGACCCTATCCTTTCTAGTTTTTTCCACTCATACATCTCAGCATACACATTTCTGCCACTCTCATTTTTTGGGCATGTTGTCTCTTGACTACCCAACACTCAACTCCATACAGCATTTTTGGCCTTACAACTGTTGTATAGAATTTCCCTTTTAATCTATAAGTGGTATTTGCCTATAACATAAGACACTAGATGCACCCCTCCATTTTGCCCAGCCTGCTCTAATTCTATAGGCAACATCTTCCTCAATTTCTCCCTTGTTATGAATTACAAACCAAGGTACTGGAAAAAGGTAAAGTAATTTTATTAGAAAGACCAGCCAAATACAAAAAGTGGGAGTTCAATCATCTAGATCCACAACCCCCAGAACCACTAGCAGTCACATATACCACAAAGACACAGATTGCAAGACACAACTAGGCTGCTGGGAAGGCTCCCTAGCAGCAGCAGCCCAAGAACTCAACCTCCCCACAGCAACACTAATTAACTCATCAGTCTGCAAATGAAGCCCCTGAAAAGCCTTTTTATTTCTTTCCAACCAAACTGTCCACACCACAGCTGCAGGGATCAGGCTCCAATTTAGTTGACCATCTTCACTTAAACCTTGTGGGCACCAACCAGCAAGCATCTTTTTTTCTTTGAGAAAAAGTGACAACCAGCAAGCAACTTTCTCAGATTTTTCGGACAGACCCAGGACAGGTTCGAAGCTTTTACGGAATGAAGCTAGATCTCATACACCTTTGGGCAGTGGATAAAGAGATGATCCAGGTTCTTATCAGACTGATTTCACATTGGGTAGGCATGGTCTTGAATCTGCACCCCTCTTTTAATCAGACAATATTTAGTTAGGTCCTACCCAAGAAAAACAACCCAGAGCAGGAAGCAAACTTGAGGTTGAGGGGATTGCACTTATACTAGGAAAAGGACCCAGGCAGATGGGAGAAGGTTCTTAGCCATTGAATTTACAGAAAATTTCCCAGTCTTTTCCCACTTCCATATCCACTCATCATCCCACCCCTTCTAATACTTTGATTGTTGAGCAATTGAAGAAACCAAAACAGTATCCGCCTCCCAATCTTGAGAACTTCTCCTTAGGCTAGCAGACCACACCGCCACATCATTCTGCCACTCATACGAATTAGCAACCAGGGCATCTTTGTCAGTTGCACTATGGAAAATCTGCAGGTATAACCTTTCAAGGGTTCGCTCAAACACCAAGAACTCTTATTATTATTAAATTTACAATGCATATATTCTGCTTTACTCCTACTTATTTTAAAACCACTTGTTTTTAGGGCAGTTGTCCATAAACCACACACTAATTCGTATTTATCAAAAAAATACTAATTTATTGTTGTGTTGTAATGGAGATTTGGCAGCACTTTCCCTCTTTCATGTACATAAATTTGTTCAGGGAACATAATTTTCTATGCTGTCCCTCTAGAGAAGAAGGGCATGATCATGTTTTGGACCTTTCGGTGCATATGCCCATCCAACTTCTAGGGTACCTAGGGAAAAAGAAAAATCTAGGATAGATCATTGTATAACTCTCATTCCTCTCAGACAATCATCATCATCAAATAGAATGCTTTAGGACAGCCAACTGTGCAAAGGTGGTGGACAATTCCTGCACAATTTCTATGAACAATTGAACATCACTAGAAACTAGTTTCTAACAACATCTACTTCATCCCTTCATTGCACCAAGATCATTCTGCAATGGTCCCCACCCCTTGGGAGAACACCATAAAACTAAACCTCAATGTGCTTGGGAACCAAGAGCTTTCAGGTATTGGTGGCATTTTCAAGATGAGCTCCAATCAAATTACAAACCATGCTCCTTGGGCTAGGGATGCAAACGGATCGGATTGGATTCGAATCAGGGTATATCCGAATATGATTCGACAGTACAAACAGTAGATCCGATCGGATCTCATAAACACATATTCGAATTTGAATCCGTTGATAATGCTGGATATCTGAATACAATCCGATTCAATTTAATTTCTGAAAATTTTAAATACATATATATAACTATTTTCATCATATATATACATGTGTTTTTATAAAAATTATAAAATTGCAATAAAAACATATATATATATATATATGTATATGTATGTATGTATGTGTGTGTGTGTGTATGTATATATATATATATATATATATCAGATAGGGGGCTGATTCAAATTCAATCTGATTCGAAAATCTGACAGGAGTATATCCGAATCTGACAAAATAGGATTGGGTCAGATCATGATCCAATCCATTTGCACCCCTACCTTGGGCCCTACAAGCTGGAAAATTTAGTGAAGGGAACCTCTCTAGGGGTGTCAATTGGACCGGATTTTGTCCAATCCAATCCAGTCCTATATGAGTCCATTACAAATGGACATCATGGACCAGGTCCAATCCAATCTGATGAATACTTTGGGCCATTCTGGACCAGTCCAATTCAATGTCTCTACCATCCAATCTGTTCAAATTGGTTTTAATTTAGATTGGTACCAACCCAAACCTGGTCCATTGACACCTGTATATCTTCTATAAATGGACCAGGTATTGGTTCAATCCGACCCAATCCAATATAAATCCATTATGGATGGACCAGGTCCAATCCAATCCAGTAACTAATTTGAACCATTAAGGTCCAATTCAATATATCTTATTAGTTCGTCCAATCTGTCCAAATTGATTTTTACTTGGACGAGGTCCAACAGAAAGCCACTCTATTGACACCCCTACCTCTCCCCATACTCATGGCCTAGGTAAAATTTCCTTTTCCATTCATATGGATTATGGAGTTCATTTGTTGGCGCTGACCCCCTCCCTCTCATGATAGGATAGGTCATAGATGGAAGTGGAAAACCATGGCAACATTGTTAGTTCTTAAAGAGGGCTCAATCCTTAGAAAATTAACTCCTAGGTCTAAAACCTCCTTCTAGAGGATCTTGCCAAGTGTGACGTCGTCCAATTGAAGTTAATGTCAAATCCATATGGGAACATGGACTAGGGGTTTGGAGGGTAAGGTTGTTATTCTTCTAATTATTTTACTAGTTATTGTTGTTTGGGATGGGCATTCTCTCTACATAGTCTTGTTTGTTTATCAGTAAAGTTCCCACTGGAAACAAAAAGGGTAAGTAGAGTTGACTACTTGATTTACAACTACAATCATAAGACCATCCTAAAATACACATAAGACAAATTAGACACAGTGCTACTACTTCATTCATCCCAAAAATATTGAGGGCTTTGCCTCCTAAGTCAAACACAGAAAGGTACATATAAACCTACTGGAGCTCAAATATCAACTTAAAAGCCCAAAAAGAAAATGCAAACAAACCGAATAACCGATAACCCACGTAGAAAATCTCATCGGGCACACAAACACCAGTCAACCATACCACTCATCAGAATAAACCCTAGAAAATAACAAACTAAAACTTGACAAATAACGAGAACAAAGGAATCACTTTCATAGCAGGATGAAATAACTGGACCAACTGAAGAACCAAACCCCTCCCAAAAGGAAGGAAAGCCAAAAATACAGCGGAACACAAGAGAAAAAGAAACTCCACAACTAAATGAGTACCGAGAAACGGCAATTTCCACTGAAAAAAGGCATTGCCCAATGTTGGTCCCAGCTATTGGGGGTCTTGAGAGGGGTAGAGTGGAAAATACAAAAAACAAAGCAAATCGATAAAAGGAAAAGAAGAAGAAGAAGAAATTCATCGTCGTGAAGAAATCAGCAAAAAAGATAAACATGAAACAAAAACAAGAAAAAAAAAGAGTAGAAAAGATCGAACCGTACGTGCAGTTTTCCTCTGAGCTCTCTGTCGGAGCGAAGCTTAACGTAGATTCTCTCGTCGAGGCTGAGTCTAATAAGATCGAGAGGCTCTTTGACCGCGCTTTCTTCTTCGGTCGCCATTCCTTCCCTCCTTTTCTTTGTTCTCTTACTCTCAAATAGGCTAATAGCTTGGAACGTGGAGGTTCGGGGTAGACCTGTTAATGGGCCGGATAGCCCGACGGGATGGACCGGCCCGGCCGTTCTAGGCTTGGGCTCGGCCACTAGAGGTGTAAATCAGGCCGTGCCACCCGTGGCATGGCACGACAGCCCGCTGGCCATGCCAGGCCTGGCACGATAGTCTGTCATGTTGGGCCTGGGGTTTGAAGTCCATGGGCCAGCACGACATGCACAATCCGGCCTGCAGCATGGCCCATAGGGCCCATAGTGGGCCATGCTTGGCCCGTCCGAGAACTAGCCATTGGGGACTAGTTTCAGCTTTTGGGGCTTTTTTCACATAAATATCCCCTAACAGCTATAAATAGCTATATAGGGGGTAATTATGTATTTTGGTTACGAGGAGAGAAAAATAACACAAAAGCCCCCCAATAACTATATAACAACTAGTTTAGGGGGTACAATGGCCAAAATACCCCTCCCAACAACTACAAAACAATTAGTTTTTAGGGTTTTTTGAGCAATTGAATTATTTTCAATTCCTATAAATAGCCCTATCCTCCACCATTCTCATCACACCAATTCAATAATTCTCTTAATCTCTCTCTCTCATACATTCTCTGCAATTTGAGTGAACTCTGATAGTCTGATTGGCTGATTGACTGATTGTCTGATTCTCCAATTATCAAATTTATTGAAGTTTCAACAAGAAAAATATTTGCTCAACCAGCTCAAGTATATCAAGTTAGCAATTTGGGAGGCTTGGACGTTAAAAGGCTTTAACTGTTGAAATCAAGTTGGGATTCTGAACCAGCAATCCAAGTAAGTCTAATTAAATTAAATTTTATTCTTTTAGAATTAAAAAAAAATTACAAACTCTTCCCAGAACCAATTACCCAACATCTTCATTGTTGACGATATTTAGTTGCATCATGGTAGTGTTAATACTAACATGGATACTATTGAATCGATGAAACTTTCACCCCTAGATACTAAGGAAAGAAAAATAGGGCCTCTAAGTTGAGTAGCCCGATTTGGAAAATATTTAAAGTAGATGATGTTGAAGGGGAGAAAAAAAGAGCAGTTTGCCAAAAATGTAAAAAAAGACTTTAGATATTGTAGCAAGGGTGGTACTGGTCATTTGAACAGACATTTACTCGCACATGTAAAAGAAGAAGAAAGGAGAGAAACAACACAAACACAAATCGGGAGGGGGTTTTGGTACATTTAAATATTCACAAGAATAAATGAGATAAGAATTAGCAAAACACATTGTACATGCTGAACAACTATTTTTGTTAGTTGAAGATACTAAACTTGAAAAATGGTTACATAATTCTATAAATCCACAATATAAAAAAGTTTCTAGAAATACTATTAGATTAGATGCTTTAAATTTTTTTTATTCATATAAACAAAAATTAATTTATTTGTTATCAAATCTTAATTCTAAAGTTGCAATTACTTCTTATGTTTGGACTTCTAAATTTAAAATAAGTTATATTTGTATTACCAATCATTTTATTGATGAAAAATAGCTTTTAAATAAAAGAATTTAAGTTTTACTAGACTTGAATGACCACATAATGGCCCAACTATTGTTGCAAGCATTTTAAATACTTTACATGCTTATAGAATTGAGAATAAATTATTTTCTATTAGTTTTGATAATGATAGTAATAATGATTCTACAATAAATATTTTAAAATCTGAATTAAGACATTGTTTAAATGGTAATTTATTCCATATCAGATGTGCATGTCACATCTTAAATTTATGTATTCAGGATGCTTTAAATATTATTTCTATTCATATTTTTAAAATTAGAAATTGTATTATATTTATTAAAAGTTCTAGAGCAAGAAAACAAGAAATTAAATATTTATGTCAAAATTATGGTTTAAAATATAAACATTTTATACTATATGTTAAACATAGATGGTATTCTACTTATGCTATTTAGAAAGTTGTATTTCTCATAAACAAATTCTTACTTATTTTTATAATGCAAAAATGCCTAATGATATTATGTTTGAGGAAGATTAGTAAATGGTAGTTTGTATAAGAGATTTTTTAAAACATTTTTATGATGCAACTAATGAATTATCAGGTATTTATTATCCAACTAGTTGTAATTTACTTTATCAATTAATGGTGATTAGTGATTGTTTTGCAAAATAAAGAAATAATCCACAATTTAAAAGTATTGTGAAAATAATGGAAAATAAATTTAAAAAATATTGGGAGAACATTTCTCATCTTTATTGTTTAGCTACAATATTAGATCTAGGATTATGAAAGATGGTTTAGATATTTTACTTGAAACATATTGTGAAAATATGAATATTGAAATTGGAATAAAAAAGAAGAAATCAATAATTTATTAATTGAAATGTACAATTTATATGAATCTGAAATAATAGGAAATAATTCTACAAATTGTAAACATTTTCTACTTCTAAACTTGAGCCTAGTAGTAGAAAGAGATAAAAATTTTTATTTAATAAGTAGAAGGCAGAAATCTGCTACTTCTAAAACAAGTTCATTTACTGAACTTAATTTTTATTTACAAGCAAATGTTTCTAGTTTAGGTGGATGAACAAATAATTTTGATATTTTAGCATGGTGGAGTGAATATTCAAAAACTTATCCAATTCTTGCCGCCATGGCACGTGATCTACTAACCCCTCCGATGTCTATAGTTCCATCAGCGTCTTCTTTTAGTGTAGGTACCAGGGCATTGGACGACAAGAAAATCTGCATGAACAATGAAAGTATAGATATGTGCATTGCTTGAAGGATTGGTTGGATGCTGGAGATAGACTACGAGACAAAGGAGGACATGACACTACACCCGATATTTCACCTGAATCAGATGATGAAAGTCATGAACAATAGTTGACTAGTTGTATAGAATTTTTTATTTTTTTTTCAAAATTGTAAATTTTGTTTTAATTTTATTTAATTTATTTACTATTTTTTAACAATGTAATTTTGTATTTTCAATTTGTAACTATATTGTATTTTTTATATTTTATTAACTTATTTCATTTTCATATTTCATTCATCCAAGTATCCAACCATTGTATGCTTTGTAATTTGTATCATTCAATTTTAAATGAAATAAAATTTCTATTTTTCTTCCAATTTGTTATTCCATCATTCTTATTTTGTTAAGTATTTTTTTTTCATTTATGTGTTAAATTTCTCATTTCTTAAATTTTCAAATAGCTCCCAAAGCTCAAAGGAAAGTTAAATATTTTAGTTTTACACTTTTACTTAGAAAATAAATCAAAATAAAAAAAACAAAAAAAAGTCAGAAAACCAGTCTAGCTCGGTTCGGCCCAAGCCTACAGCACGACACAGGCCCACACGGGCTTGGGCCGTGGGCCATGTCGTGCCGATCCCCAAACTTTTCACCGGGGAGGGCGGCATGGCCCGCTGCTGACCACTTTACACCTCTAGGCTTGAGCAAGCACTAAATGTGCTCGACTAATTTCAGGCCGAACCTAGGCTTTTTCAAATAAGTCTGGCCTGGGACCGAACCCAATTTGATAATAAATGTTCATAATGAAAATATAATATACATCATATAATATTATGTAATAATAATATTTCTAGAGAAAAGTGTATTATACAATATTTTATATATTATATAATATATAATATACTATTAATAGTATATAAGTAATATATTATAAAATATCTATCTAGATCGGGCTTCGGGCATTATATAGAGTCAAGTTTGGACTCAAAATCTAGGCCTAATGGTCGGGCATTGCTCAGGCTTGGGCTTAGACTGGACTTGGTCATTTTTTGTTTATAAAGAGACAAGTTTGATCTTAACTCGGCCTAATCCGACCTGTATAGGGGTGCACATGGATTAGACCATGATCCAATTCAAAGTTTGATCCTATTTTGTCATATTCAAAATTCCCTATTTCGGATAATTGGATCGGATAATTGGATCCGAATAGAAAATTGGATAAAATTCGGATAACCCCATTGGATCATGTGCGTGTGTATTATTTATATATATAATATATGTCATTTATTTATTTATAAATGTATTATTTATATTGCTTTTGTAAATATTTAAATTATTTCTATAAAAAAACATGTAAATATATGACAAAAATAGTTGAAAAAATACTAGTGTTTTTTGTTTTTCTTTATTTAAATTGTATATTTTTGTTTCCTTTTAATAATTTATTGATTTTTTTTTAAATGAAATAGGGTCTGATCAAATTCGAATATCAAGCATTTTGGTCGGACTCGGATTCAAATAAGTATTTATGAGATTCAATGTTCAGATCTTTAAATCATATTGAATCTATAGTGCATCAAATATGATTCGAATCCAATTGATCTGTTGCATCCCTATCTCTCTCTCTCTCTCTCTCTCTTTATATATATATATATATATATTGAAAATATATTTATCACAAAAATACAATAAATATAAATTTTAGTATATATAAATATAGATTAAGATTTTAAATTATTATTAATAAATATCAAATTTCTGAAAGTTATTTTCTAGAATTATTAATTGATATAAGTTAACTAATGTTTTTATTATTAGTACATTAATAATTGCAAATATTATTCTATTTTTTAATATCTATTAAATTTTTTTTTGAAAGTTATTAACTATTTTTGTTATTTGAAAGCTCCAAGGACTCTAAATTTTTTAATATATTTCCATTATTTCAATAATATTTAAAAAAATTTAAATTATTTATATTTTACATTCTTATTATCAAATATTATTAAATCTATTATAATTATTTTTGTGTTTTTGATAAAATTTGTAAGTTTATTACATAATTTCTTTATTCATCTATTTAAATAATATTACTATTTAGTTATTTTAATATTACTTATTTATTGAATTTCATAATCCATAAAATTATAAGTTATACTATTATTACATATTTTTGTTATTAATTTTGTAAAATATAAAATTATTATTAATTCAAATATTATGAAATCTATTGTA